AGTCGAGTCTATCTCCTGGGCCAGCAGTCACCCCAGCCCAAACCAGATGTCCAGAAGCCACTGTCCAGTTCCAGGCCAGCTGCAGTTTTGTTAAATGCCTATCACGCTTTAGTTTACCTATGTGGCCCATGACAACAAGTCTACCAATACTTCAGAATCATAATATTGGAACATGACTAAACAGTCTATATTGACAGCCTTTAAAACATGGTCATAACAATTAAAGTTCTTTTCATTTTATTATCAAGCAAAATTTTAAAAGCTAATATTAAAAGCTTCATTTACTTTACATGGGAAACAAATGCTCACAATGAAATATATTAGTTCCCTACAGAATGAATCATAAGTAATTACATAGGAATAGCTCATGGAAATCGACTGCCACAATCTATTGGATATATAGAGATTGAAAACAAACTTTGGAAAACAGCCCTTTAAACATAATTATTCCATTTTGAAAAGAATCAGGTGTTCCTTATTTAGGTATAATATATGCAACTGATGACATTAATGTAGTTTTATTCACACTTGCCAATAAATAGCAATATTCCAAAAACTAGAGCTGAATTTCTAAGACTGAATCATTCACCATAATCAATCATTTGTTGCTTTTCCCACTTCCCTCTTTTACTTATTACAAGTTGTTAATTTGCAAAAACAAAAAACAAAACAAAAAAAATCACCAGCCAATATGGATGCCTCATGGAAAGGGATTATGTTTTATGGTTTATTCACATTGTAGACTCTCCACTATTTTCCAGAGAAGAAATGAACTGAGGTAATAATGGCTCAATATTATGAACACTCTTAACTTATTAAAGTCTTTAAAATGAAAATGCTGTGGTCCAACAGACTGCATTATCTACTGCTTGAATCTTAGAACTTACTTCTGCATAGAAATCATGCCACATATGGCTGGATAACCAGGCCAGCCCCCGGGAACCCCAACGGCAAGGAGCACTGCTGAACATCACCACCAGGGGGAACACTTTCATATGCAAATACACCCAGGCAGCTAGCGGAAACCTGTTCCCATATTTACAAAGAAAGCAGGTTCCTCCTCCCTGTCAGTGCTTACGAAAATCCCATCACCAGAACAGCGGTGGGGACTCGGATGCAAACATGGTGCAGGGGAAGGCAGAGAAGAGACAGGGACTGGGCCATACGTGCAAACCACTGGGCAGCTCCCTGTGCGGGTGGGCATCTCTGCATGTTATCTTTACACTGTTGCTCCTGCCCAGAGTTTCTCTCACACCCTGCAAGACAGAAGGCACTTCCATAGCCTTTCGCCTTCCTTCTTGGTGCTAAGGGGCAAAATGCCCTTGTTAGACTTTCCCTCCACCCCGTGCCTCATTTACAATCTGTAATAAAAGGAAGAGACAAAGGAGCAAAAGGGCTCTTCTCCCCTGTGACTCCCATCACTGCCACACTCCAGCTCCCATCGTTCACTAAGCCCTTACACACAGGGCACCTTGCCAGATAGGGGACACGAAGATGAGGAAGAGGAGACCCTGCCCTCATGGAGCTCCATCAAACAAGAGAGACAGATCCAATCCACATGAAAAGAGCAGGCAGGAACTACTCTAAGAGGCTGGCACAGCGGCTAAGAGCGCAGGCTGGAGTCTTGCTGCTCCACTTACTAGCTGTGTGGCAGGGCAAGACATTTCACTTCTCTAAGTCTCCATACCTTCATCAACAATGGGATAGTAATAATTGTGCCCAACAGGGTTACTGTAAGGATTAAAGAAAATAAAAGCTCTCAGTATAATGCTTGACATAGCGCAAGCATTTACTAAATTATTGTTACGAATTATTCAGATCATTGTTACAAAAGACATAGAAAAAAACAGAACTTTCAGAGTGGTATTGAGGACTAAACAAACTGTATGCTTGGTGGTGTCTACAGGGGCTGTATTTTAAACTCAGTCTTGAAGAATGACTAAGAGTCTGCCAGAGAAGGGAAGGAAGGACATTTTAGCAAAGGCCTGGGCTGGGAGCATTCACATGATAAGGAAAGACTTCTTCCTGGAGTCAGACTCCAAAGCCACTGGGCTTGGGCAGCTAAGTCCAGAGAAGGACCTGAGGAGTCTGCCCTTAATCCTGTACCCAGGACGGGGCGGGTGAGAGGCACATACTCAGATTTGTTCCTGACATGTAACTTCAACAGCAGTGCTACATATTTTGCTTATCTATCCAGAAGACTGACTGCATACAGGTGAGATAGGGCATGCGGGGCCAAGTGGGAGGCAGCTCCAGGAGGCGCCTCCAGAAATGGTACAAGGACAAGAGGACAGCTTAAAGAAAGGTTGTGGGAATTGAACGAAACATTTCAGGTCTCAGCTTAGATGTCACTTGGCTGGGTAGCCTTTCCTATCTTGGCAGTTCTGGGTGAGGTACTGTTTTCCTAAGGGATCTTACAGCACCAGCACCAAGACATCTCGAATCACAGCTCTTAACACTTGTATCTACAGATTAGTTGAACAAATTAATTAAGGCCAATAGTGAGCCAGGCCCTTGCTTGGCACAGGGAATATAGCACTGAAGGCAGGGAAGAATGTCTGTCCTCATGCACTGCTGTAGAGCTTACCTGCTGGCAGGGGATATAGGCAAACAAGCAAACAAACAAATATAGAAATTCACATGGTGCTAAGTGCTATAAAGAACAAAACAAAGTTAGAAGGCAAAGAGACAGATCGTAGTGGAAGGGGAGTACCATAGGACAATCAGGGACAGCCTCTGAAGAGGATCATATCTGACCAGACAGCAAATAGCAGGCTGCAATGAGGGAGCAAGGCAGGTGGAGACCTGGGAAAACAGCAAGGACAGTGTCCCCTAGGGTGAGGCACATCTGTAGCCTAGCCAGGATACCACTGTGGCTGGAACAGAGCAAGCAAGGAGGAGGATAAAAAACACAAGGTTGGAACCAGGCAAGCACCACACTGTGTATGGTTTCGTACTTTTATTAGAAGTAAAATGGGGCCAGGCATGGTGGCTCACCTGTCTAGCACTTTGGGAGGCCGGGGCAGGAGGATCCCTCAAGTCCACAAGTTTGAGACCAGTCTGGACAACATAAGGAGATCCCGCCTCTATAAAAAATATCGAAAAATTAACCAGGTGTGGTGGTACACAACCATCTACTCAGGAGGCTGAGGTGGGAGGATCACCTGAGCCCAGGAAGGTTGAGAGGCTGCTGTGAGCCATGATCATGTCACTGTGCTCAGCCTGAGTGACAGAGCTGTCTCAAACACAAACTAAAAAAATTACTTAAAAAAAGAAGTGGAATGCCAAAGGAGGGTTAAGAAGAGTGACAGGATCTGGGCTGGGTGCTGTGGCTCATGCCTGTAATCCCGGCACTTTGGGAGGCCAAGGTGGGTAGATCACGAGGTCAGGAGATTGAGACCATCCTGGCCAACATGGTGAAACCCCATCTCTACTAAAAATACAAAAAATTAGCTGGGCGTGGTGGCGTGCACCTGTAGTCCCAGCTACTCAGGAGGCTGAGGCAGGAGAATCACTTGAACCCGGGAGGCGGAGGTTGCAGTCAGCCAAGATCATGCCATTGCACTCCAGCCTGGGCAACAGAGCAAGACTCTATCTCCAAAAACAAAAACAAAAACAAAAACAAAAAAACAAAAAACAGTGACAGGATCTGATTCAGGTTAAACTGAGATCATTCTGGTTGACATATGGAAAATAAGCTACAGGCAGCGAAGGCACAGAAACAGGAAAGTCAGAAGGCTACCATAATATTCTGATGAGAAGCAGTGGCAGCTAGCACCAAGCTGCTAGCACGAGTGGTAAAAATGGTCAGGTTTCATACCACATCCAATTCATCAGCAAGTTCTGCCAGCTGTACCTTCAGAATACACAGGCAGTAGTATATATTCACCACAACTTTCAGAGTGGTATTGAGGACTAAGCAAACTAAACGCTTGCGGTAGGATGCAGGAGTTGAGAGCTCAGGGAGGGCCGGGCACGGCGGCTCACATCTGTAATCCCAGCACTTTGGGAGGCTGAGGCAGGCAGATCACCTGAGGTCGGGAGTTCAAGACCAGCCTGGCCAACATGGAGAAACCCTGTCTCTACTGAAAATACAAAATTAGCGGTGTGTGGTGGCACATGCCTGTAATCCCAGCTACTCGGGAGGCTGAGGCAGGAGAATCGCTTGAACCGGGAGCTCAGTGGGAGGACAGGCCAGGAGAAGCCCCCTAGAGGAGCGGATTTGGAGAAAAGGCCTCAGGACCAAACCAGCGAACAACTGAGAAGAAACAGTCTAGAAAGCGGAAGCCTAGCAGCGGGTGGTGTCCCGGCAGCCAAAGAAGAGCAGGATTCAGGAAGGATGGAATGAGCTGTCGGAGGATCAGTACTGCAGAGCGGTCAAGTTAAAGAACTCGTAAAATGATCACTGGACGAAAGTCACCTGACCACAACAAGCAGTGTCAGTAATGTGGAAGCTTAGGGGAAACAGGATGGAAGGAAGGAAATAAACAAGCATACACAACTCTCTTGAGGAAACCTGCTATTAAGGAAAGCACAGATACGGTGCAGAGGCTGGAGGGGAATAGAGATGAAGGACAATATTTTACATGTGCAATATCACCGTGTGCTTTATTGATCCGGCAGACAGTGAAAAACCCATGTAGGCTAAGAAAAATGCACACCAGGAAGGAGGGGCACAAATTCTTCAGGTGGCTGGAAAAGCTGAATAATCTTTAATGATTCAAAATGCTGATCAGAGGATTGATTTAAACAAATAAAGGATATTATTCCCTTTTTACCTTTCAAGAATTAGAACAGTTCTCGTAACTAGTTGAAATAAATCTTAGAGGCATACAGTGTAGTTATTAGAAGTTGGTCCAAAGCTAAAATGAGGAAAATAGCTACAGGATCAAAAAAAGATATCAATTGATAAAATGTCTTTCTTTATGATACAGTATACTCAAGATTACAATTTCTAAATTCATTATTTTTGATAATTTCCACGAGCAGGACATACTTACAGGTTACACTGGTTTAGTCTGTAAAACTTGTGTCGCGCAACACAGAGTCTCCAAATGTATTTTGCAGTTTCCATGTCTTCCTAGCAAACAAAATAGGCATAAAGCAATATGAAAGCACACACACAACTTGATACGTTTAATGCACAGTTTGTCTAAATACATAATGGGTGACATCATATGACAAAGTCACTTTCAGGACACTATAAGCCTTTCATTTTCCAACACTGTGCCCATGGTATGAATACCACAAGTAGGATTTAACTTATGAAGACAAAACAATCTGTTCTAACAGTGTGATTCTCATATTAAACAGTTTCAAAATGACATGGGAATCTAAAAACTATAAAAATACCAACTTCTATTCTTGCCAAATATACTCAGACATTTTTAAACAAAAATATGACTCAGTAACTCAATATTGCCTTTGTCAAGAGAGCAAAAGCAAATAACTATTAAATAACATTTCTTCAGAGCTATTCATTTATCCATGAAATTTAAGATATCAGTGCTTACTTTTTCCCCCACTTAACCCCTGAGGTTTAATTTAAAGGTTATCATGATCAGACAGTAGTTATCCAAAGACTCATTCATTCAGCATTTACTGAGCAGCCATTTTTTGCCAACTGCCATTTTGCAAAATGCTATATGATAAAACTGCATGTTTTATACAATTACAAAATATTATAATTTTAATGCTGCCCTGCCTCCAAACACATACAAGCATGCAGAAGTAGAACTTGTTAACTTTTAGGACAAACATTCCATGCAGACCCCTAATGTTTACTCACAGTTTGAAATTGGATGGTCTCCTCTTTATTTGCCAGTTCTAATGCAAAAAAGGACTTGTTGTGGGACATGTTGGCAATGTCATGCCACCTAAAGAATAGCAAATAGAGAATGGCAATGTGAGTGCTTGTGGGCGAAACAAGGAGATAGAATATACAAGTTTTCCCTAAACCTGACGTATAAGTTAGTATTTGGTGACATTTTTGAGAAAAACAAAAAACAAAAAACACGAGACCAGCCTGGCCAACATGGTGAAACCCTGTCTCTATTAAAAATACAAAAACTAGGCCAGGCATGGTGGCTCACACCTGCAATCCCAGCATTTTGGGAAGCCGAGGCAGGCGGATCACCTGAGGTCAGGAGTTTCAGACTTCTGGCCAACATGGCGAAACTCTGTCTCTACTAAGAATATAAAAAAGTTAGCTGGGTGTGGTGGTAGGCACCTGCAATCCCGGCTACTTGGGGGGCTGAGGCAGAAGAATTGCTTGAACCCAGGAGGCGGAGGTTGCAGTGAGCTGAGACAGCAGCACCATTGCACTCCCGCCTAGGCAACAGAAACGAAACTCCATCTTAAAAAAAAAAAAAAATTACAAAAACTAGGCCAGG